TCTTTGCAACCACTTCTGAGCACCTCCTTGGGGCAGTCTGAGTGGCTAGTGCAGTTAGTGGACAGAACCCCAAATGCAAATCAGAAATCTCAGGTCCCTGTCTTGGTAAGTGCTGCACTTTGACGCCCAACGCCTGGCCCAGCAGTTCTCTCGGAATAGACTCAGACACAGTAGACCCCGGCTAATGGCGGCCTGTCCCTACAGGAGTTGTGAGGGTACAAAACAAATCAACCCACAGCCCTCTGTGCTGTTCTCAGGCTGAACAGCAATCAAGACATCAGATAGGTTAGCAAATGAAAAGTAGTGAATTTAATATGCATGTGGAGGATTCACATGATCATAAATTCTGAAGAATAATGGAACAGCCCAGGAATATTTAGCTTGGGTTTTAGGACCTGGGGTATCAAGGGAAAAGGGGGAGATTTCACATGACACACAAAGAGGTGGTGACCTAGTCCTTTCACTAGGTGTGAAGATGAGATTCTTAGAGAGAATTGGGGTTCTACATGCTTCTAGGTGATGAAAAGGGGGAGTGTTAATTGTGAGACCCATCTGAGAGACCCATCCAAACTAGGCTCTTTTAGGCCATAACAGGGAGAGCTTCAATTAGGCAAGAACAGAAGCTTCTCCTGGCCTTCTCCCCACTGCCCCTCAACCTGAAATATCTTCATTCTTGCAGTGATGCTAATCAGCCTCCTGAGGCTCACAGGGCCTGATGGACTTGTTCTCATACCAAGGGGACAAGAAACCTGTTCTGGACCTCTACAGACAAATCCATCTGACCCTTAGTGGGGGGGAAAGTGGCCCCCAGAGCAAATCCATCACTGTGCCTGGAAACAAACAAACAAACAAAAAAACCCGCACCAGGGTGGAGTAGAGTCAGTGTAGGCAGCACGTATTCAGAAGCATTTCTGTAATCCAACAATGACATATCCAATCATTTACTACCCAAGTTTCACTCTGAATGCCTGGCATGTAACTTGACTGTAAAATATAGAAACAAAAACGGGGGAGGGGGGGGTGCGGGGGGGGGGCGAGGGATGCACTGGACTATAGCAGTCCTGGCAGACTGAGACAACCACAAAAGCAGGTCTGGTGGTGTGAAGGGGGAAAAGTCTCAGAACCTAAAGGAGTCTGGATTTGCAGGTGAATTCCATTTGGCTCCTGAGCTATGCCAAGGGCCAACTGTACGCAGAGGCAAACGCAGCATTACACCAGAAAGAGGCCTGAGAACAGACCTCCCTTTTCTGACTTTGTGAGGCGTGCTCTCCCTGCCCCGGGGTTCCAAGCAATGCACTTGTGTTTTCAGGAGCTGTTGCAGGCCTCCTGAGTTTTCAACAGCAGGAGGGTGCTGCAGCTCCAAGAGTCGCCCATCCAGCCAGGCCTCTCTGCCGGCGGACACTTTAATAACTGACTGTTGCCACCTGCTGGCCATCAGGCTGAAGTGCATGCTGGAAACCTGAGGGCTTAGCGCAGGGCCAGCCAGCCTCCTGGAATTTGGGCCAACACAGCCTGTGTGTTTTCGCCAAATAAGTGACCTTGGCATGATCCATGATTATTCTATTCATTAAGACACACAAGAAAGTGTAATTTTAGAAAAGCAGCATCCTTCATTCATGCATTACTTAATGATCAATTACAAACCTTTTTGTAGCTAAATACCAGGTACTCTGCAGGGTACCAGCAAGTGATTGACAGTTACACTTCATTCTATCCTCAAATGACATTCCTTGGCTGCCTTCTATACTATTCATTGAAGAAGCTTTATTTTCATTCATTCACCCCTGAAGTTATTGACTGAATGCCTACTATATATATGACAGGTTCTGTGCCAGAAGACAGGTTCTAAGCCACAGCGGTAAGAATAACAGGTACTTGGAGTCCATCCTAGGAGAGGAAGTATTAAGCAGATAAGCACACCAGGAGACATCTCAGAACTGTGACATAGCATGGAAAAATATAATTCATTTATATGTGAAGAGGGCAGGTCTATATGTTGACAAATTCTAAAATTGGAGATTTAGGCTATTTGTTATGCACTAAAAAAATTTTTAAATGTACTGATCCAGCACTTTTACTTCTAGAGCTCATCCTATGGCAACTGTCAGCTTTTCTACTGTATCTTAAGTACATAAAATTAGGCTGATTTATATGTGTAAGGATTGTTTATAAAAACAAGTAAGAGTAAATAAGGAAACCATCCAAATGTCTAGTGATATGAAGTCAGTTAAATAAATTATGGTTCACTCATAAAATAGAATATTGTACAGCCCTTAAAAATGAAACTATATTATTTGACCAGGAGAATGTTTATGACATAGTTTGTAAGTTACAGAAGATTATATACAATAAACCTCATTTTGGAGGAACCTTTTTATGGGTGTTTTCTTCCAACTCCTGACTGCATAATCAATTATTTTATCATTATTATTGGATTACTATAATCATCCTAAAAATATGCTATTATTTCTCCCATCCAGAAAGTCACGAAACAGAATCCCACTCTCTCACTCTCCTTCTGTTTCTTTGCTTCCCCTTCTCAGCCTTCTTTGCATCTTCTTCCCTCCCTTTGTTAGCTCTCTTCTCTACCTCTCCTCATTCTTTCCCTTATTAAGTTGTACCATTAAAGCATGTCCTCCCTAGCTAGACCTCGCTCCTAAACTCCTAACTTGTAAATCTAACTGCTTAGTCAGAATTTCTGTAGACCTCTCAAATGCATCACCTCCCTAAAAGATCTTGTGATTTCCCCACTCGCTAAGCCTGCTCCATCCATAGTCTTCTTTAATTCACTAAATCTGTCCTAATGCTCAAGCCAAAGCTCTACAAATTACATCATTCTCTTTTTCTCTAGCAACCAAGTCCAATCCTTCAGCTGTCCTACCCCTCCCTTACTATCACCAAATGAGGTCATATTCTGAGGTACTGGGGGTTAAGATTTCAACATATGAAGAATGAAGACACAATTTGGTTCATAGCCAAATTGTGTTATTCAAATTGTGTTATTCAAATTTGATACATATGCATGTACAAAGTATATGTACTTCATAATGTAAAAAAAAAAATGTACGATACATTGCCATATGATACACTACCAAACAATGTCACCACACCCATGGCAGTGGGGTCTCTTCTCCCTGTAATGCCATTCAAGGATCCAGGATATCAAAAATAAAGTTCTGTCAGCATGTGCTTTCCAGGCTGCCTCAGGGTCATGTCCACTCAGCCAGTCAGAAAGCCAGATGGGCATGGACAAGTTCTGGTTGGAGTCTGTGAATCTCACTAATTTCTCCTCACGTTTTCTTTTCTAGAACTTGGTTCACATAACTCCATCTAGGCAAACAGTGTGAAGGGATATATTTCATGGCTAGGCAGTCACAACTCTAGGCTATCTAGGGAAAGAGCCACTTTTTAAAAAAGTATTTATTTACTTATGCATACAGAGGTGCAGGGACGGTGAGAAGAATCACCAGAGACAGAGTGGGGGGCAGAACAGACCGAATGACCAAGTACACTGCTGAGGGGAGCAGCGGGAGGGCCCAGGAGAGGTCTGCCATGCCATGTGAATCATCTCTGGGACAGGGATCAAACTTATGCTGAAGTGGCTTTTGTTTCTTAATGCTGTGCTTTACCCCGCTGCACCACCAGGGATGGACTGGAAAGAACCTATTTTTAGTAGACAGCTGATGTCTCACAATTTAAATAAATAAATAAATGCAGATTTCCCCCAAATAGCTGAAAACAGAAAAATCTGATTTGCTAGGTTACTTTTTGGGTCTAGGAATATAGTTATATTAATTTATATGAATCATTTTTGGGTGTTTCCAGATCTAAAAATTAGCCCACAAAATTATACCACATAGGAATGAGGTACTCCGAGTTAGCAGGAACACCTGCCATGCCAATTTGTTGCTCTTTGTTCTGTCCTCCAAGTCCTGTGCCCAGGGATTTGTCTGAATTCACAGGAGCTGGGAGGTGAGGGGGGAGAGTTGTCAGAATGCAGTCCTTGGGCTTAAGGTGAGAGGACTTTACTTGCTTCAACTGGAAAGAAAACAAGGCAGGAACAGGCAAGGTGTTTTAAATCATCGTCCACTTCTCCATTTGGGTACAACTGCTTTTCAGACTAAGAAATTACTAAGTGCAGACTTTTAGGATTATTTTTTTCCAACAAAGGAATTGGAAAGTCGAACCACTGCATTCTCCACTCCCGTGAATGAGAGCAGGCAGAGAAATTGATGGAAACAAGTTGGAACCTAGAGCTACTGTTATGCAGTGGGTCATTTTGTTCACATTAATTACTCTTCCCTTGAATAGTGGTGGGTGGTTAGCTCCAGCTAATGCCCTACCATGGAGCAGGCTTTGCCATATGTAGGGACAGGTCCCAGCAGCCCCTCCAGAGGACTGGTAAACAGTTTCATGTTAGAAGCCATCTTAGTTAGACACCCAAGCCCACCCAGCATACTCTCCAGCAGCAGATTCAGCGCCCACATTCACTGGGTCACAAACACTGAGCCCTCTCAGCCTGGAGTGAAGCAGAGCAAATGTCCCATGTGCTGAATGTGGATTTCAGCTGGTCAGAGTCTTACCTGAACAGCGGACTATCTGCTTAAACCAAGTGACTGATGAAATCAACCCATATAGATGAGGTTTTCATGTTTACAAGGGAGGCAGCTGCTCACCATTCAAAGCAAGTCTCTCCCTCTGCCTGTTTTTTTATTAAGCCCTGGTCGTTGGTGCACATAAAACACCATGCAGTTCACACACAATTTATCAAGGGAATAGCAAGTGTGTAAAGTGAGGCACTCTGCAATAATGGAAGCTGTTGAGCAGCTCTGAGGGCTTAGGGTAGCCCAGCTGTCGCTGCCACAAACAGGTGGTGTAAAACAATAGCTGAGCCGGCTCACTCCAGATCCTCGAGCTGCGGCGCATCCGGGCACACAGTCCTGGTCAGTGCACAGCACAAGCCGCCACTCTGCCACCCGTCCACGCCAGTGCCCACACACATGACGCCCCGGCCGCTGCTCCTGCTCCTGGGGTTCTGCTCGGGTAAGTGCTGGGGTTGGAGGGCTCTCCGGTAAGGCTGAAGCCCAAGAGCCCTCAAATCTTTGATAGGAACACAAATTGGCCAAGCCTCACCTGCCACGGGCTGCTCTGGAGTTTCTCACCCACGCTGGCTTGCTAGGGTTTGTGGATTAAGATTGCGAGTTTGTGATGTGCAGTTAAAATGAGAACTGTGTGGTCCTACAAAGCAGACCTGTAGGTCTCCTCTCCTGCCGTCACACACCTGACTCGCCCATCCGGTCCGATGCCTCTGCACACCTACCACCCGAGAGCTGCTTTTGTATTTGAGTTCCGGGAACTTAGAGCAGCTACTTATAATGGCAAACAATATGGTTAACCAGTCCTTTCACTGCTCTAGGAGAATTCTGGTAATAGGAGGGTTGATTGACAGCGGCATGTGCTGAAGAACGAACTCTTATGAATAATTGTAACTAACTCTCCCCCTAAGAGAAGAAGTATTTTGTAATTTTGTAAACTTCTGAAGTTACAAAACAGTACTTACGTGAGCATTCAGGACGTGTGTTTAAGGATATTACAGTGTGTGGGTTTGGATTTGAACTGAACCCATAAAAACTTGCACAGCCCTTGACCTGCATTCAGCTCTGGAACGTGACAGCGCAACAGCTGAAATGCTATCCTGAATCCCAAACTTCCGGTAGAGGGAAGTGGGAGATGCCTGGTGATTGCTTCACATGAAAGTTTACTAGTGATATCATGCCAACTGCGACTCCAGGCCAGTGACATTCTGTGATTTCTCCTCTCAGTAGTTCTGACAAAAATAGCCCTTCTAGGCACAAGTGGTAAAGAGCTTTATTATTAAACTTTTCAATAGCATTGAGGAGAAAACTAAACTAAATTCAGATAAACTATATCCCATCGAATGTGGACTTGAGGCAATCAAAACTGACCTGGTGGTAGGGATGATGGTGGAGTGCTGGAGGCGGTGGGCTGTGTGTATTGTTTGCAAACACTACACACCATGAGAATTCTTATGCTTACATGTAAAAATCCTTAAAGGATCTCTAAGGACACCAAAGACCTCCCAAAATGCATGTTTAGTTATTTTTAAAAGTACATGCAATGTATTTAAATCAAATCTAGAATCTGCTTGTACCAATTCACATGATTGGCTCGTAGAAATTTAGATCTAGATTAAGCAGTCCAACTTTTTCTTACAAGGAAACTGAAGCTACAGTCATAAATTGACCTCCTCAAGCTTACTTAGTTTACACATTCCCGAATGTGATCAGTTGGAGATACTGTTGTTATGTGTACAGTTAGAAAACTACCAGAAATTTACAAAGGTAGCAAGAGACATAGCACCAGGTTGAGCTAAGCATTACCCAAGGTAATAACAATTTTGGTATCGAGGTAGTAAGAACACAGAATTCTTTTGCTCAGCCCAGCACACTGTTCTGACCATAACAGACTGGATCTTTGTGGTACAAGAAAGAACAGTGTGAAATTAAGGCCAGACTCTCCTACTTAGAACCAGTCCTTTGTGGGCTAAATTCTCATTCATTTCAGAGACACTCTTTCCTGTGTTAGCTTAACACACAGTGATCTCCAAGCTATTTATATAGCATCTACTGTTACAACCTTTTCCTCTCTTCCATCCCTGGAATCCCAAGTACTTCATTGCCACCTTCCTTGCGGCATATTACTTTCCAACTTGCTCATAGTTATTTATTTAAATGACAAATGTCACTCTCCAGGAGGCAGGGAGATTGTATTCATGTCAGATTCACCTTTGAAACAATCTTTTAGCTCTTCAAACAATGTTTAGCACATAAATAAAGGCTCAACAAACATTTGATGAATGAGTTAATGTTACCACCTTCTGAATAAGGGTTATTAATGGGATTATGCTATAAAGAGTTCATCATTACTTATTTGCTTGTCTGGCTTGTCTGTATGTTTGTTCATTAATACCATGTCTTTTAGAGAAAGTATTTACCATGATTCATGGAATCTAAGAAAAACTGATCCAACTCTTCAAATCATATTGGTGTTTGGAATAGCCCTGCAAATTTCTATCACTCTACCTTGCTTTGGGGGTGGTGGGGAAGGAATGACAATAAACACAATTGAAAAAAAAAAAATGGGAATTTCTCCTTAGAAATTCTCATGGCAGGAACAAGCCCTGCTTGTTATTTGTGAAGATGGGAGAGGGAAGGTGAAGTCACCGGCATGCTGGGCCCACCTGAGTCCCTAGGTCTCCCTTTCTCCTTAATGGGCCATGGCTGGCCTGAGTACTTTTCCTGCTACACGATACTCACCATCTGCTCTACCCATTGCTTTCTAGTATGTTCTTCCTGTCAAACGTAGGGGCTAGGAATCATTTCAAAATAATCATCCTGGGGTAATGCCAAAGCAGCATCTTCAAACTCAGTAGCCAAGTGACCCATGCTGTGGGCTAGGGTGGAGGAGGAGAGGTCCAGGACAGACAAGGCATGGAAGATAGACTGCAGTGTCCCATGGGCTTAATAAAATGACTGGATGAACTAAGTCTTTGCCTCTGGGAGGGGTCCTCAAATACAGGTGGTTTTGGACAGATGCATGGCTGTCAATCTTGCGTGGCTGGACACCTTGGACCATTTTAGGTTCGGAAAACTCAGGAAACTAGGTATGAAGAGGTAAGCTTGCTCAGGGGGCCCCTACTTAAGAGTCCAAGAAAGCCATGAAGAAGATATTTCTGCTACACTGAAAGTTTCAAAACTCAGAGTAGAATGATACATTTACCAGGCTCTCCCTAGTGGCTCAAGGGGTTAAAGTGCACAACCATGAAGCTATCTGCAGCCACTGCAGCATGAGATCGATCCCCAGCCAGGAAGGTGACCCACATGGCACAGCAGACCTCTCCTGACCTGACTGCTGCTCCCCTCAGCAGTGTATTTCAGTCAATCCACCTGTTCTGCTTCCCATTCTGTCTCTGGTGAATCTTCTCGCCCCCACACCTTTGGCCTGTACCCTAGTTCTTGTATGCATAAATGAAAAATTTTTTTTTAATAAAGGGTGATACATTTACCTTTAGGGAGGTGGCAAACACACAGATCCCAATATCAGGCTGCCTCAGGTTAATATCCAATTCTCACTACCTGGGTAATCACGTTTCTTAACTGTCTGAATGTTTTCTATATGTAAGTTAAAGGTAGATTTAACTCATGGGATTGTTCTAAGGCTTCAATAGATAATACAAATACAGGCCTTTAATAAAGCTCTCCAGACTAAAACATACCTTTTTTTAGGGGGGTGGGGGGGTCGGTAAGTATCAACTCACTGTATAACATCAAGTATTTCAGTCTGATCCAAAGTTCTGGATAAGCAAAGTAGGTGAGACTACGGCCTCTGGTTAGAGTCCCAGCACCACCATTGCTGAAATCAGGGCAAGTCACTAAACTTCTTTATGCCTCAGTTTCCTCATTTTAAGGTGAGGACAATAATACTACCTGCTGTACTGTTAGAAGGGTTGACGCATCAGTGTGTCTATAACTTACAATGAACGTCAGGTGCATAGCGAGTTGAATGTTAGTGTTATTTATGATGATTAATAAAAATAGAAAAAGTACTATCAATTATTATTTTGTTTATAAACTTCTCCAAAGCTAGGCTGCACGGAGAAAAGTAATGCCCCATCTTAGAGGTTAACACCACTGGGAATAAAGGGAAAGCATTTCATTTGTTCAATTTTTCAGAATTTGATTTGGCCCAGGGAGGAGGTGAACAGTCACCTGCAGAGAGGGGAGATCTGATTACACAAGTCAGGGCAAGTGGATTGTGCGTCTGCTTCCTTTCCAACCCTGAACGGCAAGCACCAGTCCATGAAAGGCTGGAGTTACAAAGATCCTTCATAAGGAACGTGTAAGAATCTGGAACACATTTGTGCATAAGAACAGTGGCACATGCCGTTGCAGTTTCCGGGACAGCTCACAACATCCTCATGATGGTAGCAGTGCAGAAACACAGGGACAATGACAGGGCTCTCAGCAGAAAGTCTGCCCCGGTCACAGACCCTTGGACAGGTTATACAATCTCTAGGAATCTCAGGTGAGAATGTCTGCCTGGCTGACTCATCAAAGGCTGGTGAGGAAAACATAACACTGAATAGAAGAGAGCTGTGGGCTCTGAGGGTATTGCATGATACTGCTCTGTATACTGTAGCAAAGGTCCTTGGAATCCATGAGGTGTCACATACGAGTCCCAAAACCAGGTCAGCAAAGGACACAGTTTCACCCTATTCTAACAACCTAACTCTGAGACAATGTACCCTCCAGCAAAAAAAAATTTTTTTTTGAATTATGGTACTATATATATTCACCATTTTAAAGTGTAAAATTCAGTGGCATTGAACATATTCAATGTTATGCAACTATCACAACTATCTATTTCCAGAAGTGTTTCATCACCCCACAAAGAACTTGTGTACCATTATTATTCACCCACACTATCCTGATACTTCAATTCCTGGTAACCACTAATTTGCTTTCTCTCTCTATGGATTTGCCTAATCTAACTATTTCACATCAGTGAAATAACACAATATGTTCCTTTTGGGTCTGACTTCTCTCACTTAGTACAATGTTTTCAAACTTCATCCAGTTGTAGTATCTATCAAGACTGTTCCTTTTTATGGGTGAATCATATTCCACCGAATGGATATACCATTTGTCAGTTTATCATTAATAGACATTCAGATTGTTTCCACCTTTTAGCTAGTAATACAATGTTTTTATAAACACTTACATAAAAGTTTTTTTATGAATAATTCTTTGAGGGGCTGGTAGAATTGTTGGGTCAAATGGTAACTAATTAACCATTTGAGGAAATACCGAACTATTTTCCACAGCAACTGCATCATTTTAAATCTAGCCATCAATATATGAATTCCAGTTTCTCAATTTCCTCCCCAACATTTGTTGTCTTTAATAACGTTCATTCTGTTCACATAGTGTGTTCACATCTTAGTGGGTGTGAAATGGCATCAATTTTTGGCTGTTCCTGGCATCATGAGATCTGAGGCCAGCCAACCCATGATTTCATTATGGCATACTAGACTGAAATTCTTGGACTGGCTTTTGTGTGGAACTTTCTTGTGTGTGAATGTCCTTAGCAAATTTAATTGAGTCAGAAGCTCAGGAACTGACATAAGGAATGTCATCTGCCCAAAGTATGAGTGTCATAAGCATCTGGCATGTCCCATGTTTCCTAAGAAGGGACTACAGCAGTAGCTGCTCTTGGAAAGAACAGAAGGCAATAATAGGGGCCTGCATGCCTTTCATGAGCTGGTCACAACCCAGAGAGTGGGTTGTGGAGAGTGGGAAACAGAATCTGACAGCTTGTGTGTTACTTACCACCCCAGCTGGCCTTGTCCTGGGCTCTGAACATGAGACACGTCTGGTGGCAAAGCTATTTGAAGACTACAACAGCGTGGTACGTCCAGTGGAAGACCACCGCCAGGCAGTGGAGGTCACTGTGGGCCTGCAGTTGATACAGCTTATCAATGTGGTAAGACATGAGCTCTAGGGAATCCCACCAACACCCATATCTCTCACTCTGAAGCATCCTCTCATCCATTCCCCACTCTATTCCCTAAACATGTGGTCTTAACTTCTTTTTCAGGATGAAGTAAATCAGATTGTGACAACCAATGTTCGTCTTAAGCAGGTAATTCGGCTAGATAGTTGCACTTATGCTGCTTTCATTCACCCTAAAATTTAACCTACGCCTAGCTGAAATGAACTGGGGTGACAGGGATATAGACAAAAATGTTATCTGTAGATCTTTTGGGAGTTGTGGGATTATGGATCATGTTTATTGGTCTTACTTTGTACTTTTTCTATATGTATTAGTTTGCTGGGGCTGCTGAAACGAAGTCACAAACTAGGTGACTTAAACAACAAATTTATTATCTAAGTTCTTGGGAACAAAAGTCCAAAATCAAGGTGTTGATATATTGGTTCCTTGAGAGGGCTATAAGGGGAATCTGTGCAGGGCTCTCCTTTTCTTGTAGTTGGTAGTCTTTGCAGTCACATGGCCTCTCCCTGGAACTGTGTCTTTACATGCCCCTTTCTTTTTTTTTTTTTAAATTAATATTCATTTACTTATTTATGCATACAGAACTGGAGTACAGGCCAGAGTTGCAGGGGTGGTGAGAGGCTTCACCAGAGACAGAGTGGGGTACAGAACAGGCAGATGGACGAAGTACACTGCTGAGGGGAGCAGTGGGCAGATCAGGAGAGGTCTGCCGTGCCATGTGGATCATCTCTGGCACCAGGGATCGAACTCTCACTGAAGCAGCTGAAGCCAGCTTGCAGTGCTGCATCCTAATCCGTTGCGCCACCAGGGAGGGCCCACACATCCCTTTCTTATAAAGACAAAGCACAATGGACCAGGACTTACCTACATCATCTCATTTTAACTTGATGAATTCTGTCACCCTACAATTAAGATCAAATTCTGTGAGGTCAAATTCTGAGGTGCTAGGGGTTAACACTTCAATAGAAGACTTTTGGGGAGACACAATTCAATTCATAAAATTGTGTTATTCAAATTTGCTACACTGGGCATCAAGTGTATAATGTTGAAAAATAATAATGCTTTTTAAAATGACATTGCCTGCTTGAGGACAGTGTTCACAGTAAGGTCTCTGTCTTTTCTTGAAGTGGACAGGATGGCCTGGTAGGTCTGGACTTGGGAAACACCTTCGTTTTCCCATGTAGTCAATAATGACTCTTACTAATCACGTTACTGCATAAGGACAACCGAGTCTAGTGATGAACCTAGGGGAAGTGGTTAGAACAGGCCTGCAAGTTGTCAGGACTATTATGTGTCTGCCCTTATCGTTTATTAAGGGAAAGTCGAATTCTGAATCCAACTTTTCTTCCTGAAGTACAATTTCTGTCCAAATCTGAATCACCACAGCCACCCGAGCTCTCAATAACCCTAGAATTTAAAAAATATTTTTAGCTTTCCAATTGGTTAAATGTCTTCCTCTCTAGCAATGGGTGGATTACAACCTCAAGTGGAATCCAGAAGACTATGGCGGCGTGAAAAAAATTCACATTCCCTCAGAAAAGATCTGGCGCCCAGACCTCGTTCTCTATAACAAGTAAGCAAACAGACAGGGCCGGGAGGGGATGCACGGGTCCGAGCCCAAGCGCCCTACCGGAAGGGCGGCCGCTCTTGGTATGCTTCTCAACACCGTTAACTTTAAATAACCCTTAAAAACTAAGAGCCAAGTTGACACACCAGGGGTACCATATGGTGTCTCATGTTATGAATGGAAACAATTATCAGAGCCAAATTGAATCAGAGCTGTGGGGTGAGGGACACTTCATCCCTGAGAGCTCCTGAAGGGTGTATGGCAAGTATCCAAAGAAACCAACCTTCACCTAATCGAGTTCCTTGGCATGAAATGTCCTTCCCACCAATAGGCCTGTACCTCCTGGGGTTGCGCTGCACCGCATGTTCCCAGCATCCCGAGACGCGCGTGTGCCGGTGGCCCGGGGTGCCTGTAGAGCCCCGCCGCTGGGCTCCGTGACAGCCCGCGTGTGGTGAAGTTATAATGTGATTCAAGACACTGCAGTTTAACGACACGTTCATTATCACATGCCCTTCATTTGTCAGGGAACGTTCACTTCAGAGCGCATCCTTCCCAGGCAGGAGCATGCAACGCGGTGGAGAGGGTCTGCCGTGCGACACCACGCAGCATGTGTCTGGGGCCGGCTGGCTGTGCTACTAACAGAACTACCCGTGAAGGCCGCCAGGGCCGCGGAAGGGAAATGATGTCCCGGAAAGACGACCCTCCCCAACTCTGATTTTCTGCTATGTATTTTCCGACTACACCTGGGATTCAAACATGAGCCACATTAGCCAATCATTTATATACAGCGTCAGACAAGCACGCAGCTAGAGCAAGCTGTCATGTGTTAGTGAAGTTTCTAGGTGAGAATCTGAGGGAAGCAATGACAACTTCATTGGTCCCTCTGACAAACTCTAGCAGGAAGAGCACCCTGGTGGGAGAGAATCCTGTTTTAGCTGCTCGGAAGGTCAGACTTTGACATCTATGGAGTTTGTTTTGGGGAGGCCATGCTTTTTGGGGTTTAGTGTGTTTCTTACTTCGTGCTCTTTTTTGTGTGTATTAGTTTGCTCAGATTGCTGAATGGAAGCACGTGAGTATGTCCCTGAAGGTCCTTTGAGGCAGAGGCTCCTACCCCACACTCTATGCCTGCTCCCCACCAGCCTGGGGGGGCGGGGGGCTGGCTGCCCGCTGAACAAAGCCTACAGAAGTGGCTTGTTATTACTTTTTCATCTCTACCACTTTAGGAGTATTTTTAAGTAAAAAATTATTGCCAGCATTTGAAAGTCAGGAAGTATCTCATTGCAGTTTTGAGCCTCTCTGGAAAAATCCATCATTCCATAGTCTGGAAATTTTAGACAAAAATATCTAGATGTCCAGCTTCTGAAGAAGAATCCAAGTATCTGGCAACACTGGGCCATGGGGACACCACAGGCAGAGCTGAGGGGAACTTTCCCGGAAGAGGAGGGGGCTCTCCTTCAGCCTCCCCCATCACTCCTTCCTCAGCTGCCTGGAGGCATCTGTGGGGAGGCCTCAGGGCACCGAGTTCTAAGCAGCTATTTAAAAGGGAATAGACCCCTACCTTAACCTGCTTGTCATAATAATGAGCCACTGCAGGTTTTATTTAAAGTTCCTGGTTTGTTTTTTTCCCAGTTAACTTTCTAAGTAAATCAGGGACAGGAGAGATGATAACTGACATGATAAACACCACTGAGGATTGGGAAAGAAAACATCTGGGATGCACGGATCAGTGTTACCTACAACTTATTTAAAACTAGATTCCCAGGCTCAGATGTTCTGATTCAGTGGTTGATGTAATAAATCTTTTTTAAAGATTTATTTATTTGTGCATACAGAGCTGGGGTACAGACCAGAGGTGCCCGGGGTGAGAGGATTCACCAGAGACAGAGTGAGCAGAACAGGCAGAGTGATAAAGTACTGAGGGCAGCAGTGGGCGGGTCAGGAGAGGTCTGCTGTGCCATGTGGGTCACCTCTGGGGCGGGGCTGGGGGGGTAGGGTGGGGGTCAAACTCATGCTGAAGTGGCTTTAGTTTCTTAGTGCTGCGCTTTAATCCACTGCACCACCAGGGAGGACCAGGAATTTGTATTTTATACAACATTCCTAGTGATTTTTAATATCTAACAAATTTGAGAAACCCCATCATAGATTGAAAAGCAACACTACCCAGGCCCTCCCTGGTGGCGCAGCGGGTTAAAGCACAGCACTAAGCAGCTGAAACCACTTCCGCGTGAGTTCGATTCCTGCCTGCCCCGGAGGTGACCACATGCCGTGGCAGACCTCTCCTGACCCACCCACTGCTCCCCTCAGCAGTGTACTTCGACGGTCTGCCTGTTCTGCTCCCCGCTCTGCATCTGGTGAAGCCTCTCACCGACCCTCATCCTCTGGGCTGTACCCCAGTTCTGTATGTACAAATAAATAAATCTTAAAAAAAAAAAAAAGGCAACACTACCCAAAAGGAAGCTTCTATAATTAGCACCTGAATAATGAACAGCTGTCTCCTGTTCAACATCCCCAAGCAGAGCTGTAGCCTCATCCTTCACTGAGAGTTATGTTCCCCTTTCTCCCCAACTGCAGTGCAGATGGTGACTTTGCCATTGTCAAGTTCACCAAAGTACTCCTGGACTATACGGGCCACATCACATGGACACCTCCGGCCATCTTTAAAAGCTACTGTGAGATTATCGTCACCCACTTCCCCTTTGATGAACAGAACTGCAGCATGAAGCTGGGCACCTGGACCTATGACGGCTCTGTGGTGGCCATCAACCCGGTAGGTGGTAACCCATGTGACGAGGCTGGATTCAGGAGATGACTGACTCGGGTCCCCAACCTGCCCCTTGACGGTCGTGGGGTTTACCAGTGAGATGGAATTGGGGGCTAGTTGGATGGTGCTCAGTTGTTTGGGAAAGTTTTTGATGTCCTGCCCATGGAAAGCACCGGGATGCTTAAATAAATTCCTTATGCCCAGCTCAGCCCGAAGATTTCTGATTTACTCCATCTGGGGGGTGGTGGTGGTGGTGGTGGTGGGATTTAAGGTAAAAGTTCCAGGTGACTCAGGTATGCAGTCAATATGGAGCATCCCAATAGTCCAACCCTCCACCCCTTACTTTATAGGAAAGGATTTCATGACCAAAAAGCAGAAGTGACCCAGGGATTCCCCTGGGTATATGACAGACAGTGCTGGAATCTGTCACCTCCTCACAGCTGACTATAAAACCCTGCCCCTCCTTGGGTCATGTGTCTGGGATTTCAAGGTTTCACTCCATCTTCTCAGGAAAGCGACCAGCCAGATCTGAGCAACTTCATGGAGAGTGGGGAGTGGGTGATCAAGGAGGCCCGCGGCTGGAAGCACTGGGTGTTCTACGCCTGCTGTCCCTCCACCCCTTACCTGGATATCACCTACCACTTCGTCATGCAGCGCCTGCCCCTCTACTTCATCGTCAATGTCATCATTCCCTGTCTGCTCTTCTCCTTCCTCACTGGCCTGGTGTTCTACCTGCCCACAGACTCAGGTGGGTGCAGTTGCCATGGCTGCCATTGACGCTGACAGGTCTCATGCTGCTATTTTGGGGGAAACCCAGGGATAAATGTGGGCTGATAAGAAAATACGGACAGATCCCAGGGAGGATGGGCGTCCTGAGAGGCCATGAGCACCGTGAAGGTCCTAAGGCAGAACTCCTAGCTCAGGCTGGATGGAAAGTGACACTGAAGATGCACATACCCAGCTCAGTCTAGTTAAAGTGACTAACCACCAACACCTATTTGTCAAACACCTATGGAATGTGTGTGCCCTGAGATGTGCTAGGCAAGGCACGGATCACAGACACTCCCCAAGCTGCTTCCCTGTAAGTCACCTGTTCTGCTGACTAATCCAAGTCCTGCCCTGTTAGCTCACTGTTTGCCACTTGAAAAAAGCTTTTGCATATCTGTTTTCCAGATGGCACTATGTTTGGATGCAAAACCATACTTCCCAAGTAGCACTTTTTCCATATATCAGCCTGGACAAGTTGCTAACCTCCTACTGAGTCGTCACATCTGTGACATAATTTCACCCAACACCAATCTCCAGAGAAGGGGAAAAGACTGCACACGCGCCTGCCAGCAAGTCACTGCTTCGAAATAACTATGGCAGATGTAGGGAACACATACTCCCCAAACTGATGAGTGCTAGAAATTTTATCAAGATGATTTTTGTAGGCCCAAAGTCTAGATTCAATGTTCCAACCAGACAAAATAGATGACACATTCACTCATTCAGCCTCTATTTGGGAGAGTGACTGTCACGTAGCAGGGGTACAGTGGAGAATAAGACACAAAAGACCCCCCACGACATATGTTCTAGTAATTGTAGTTGTTTTAAGCAAATGACAACAAATGGATCTTTTTACAACTTTCTTTTTTAATGAAGCTTCTTAGCGTGAAAAGGGAAAACACTACTCAGGGCAATATGGTCACTATTCAAAGTTCTAGAAATTCTAAACAATATACCCTTGATTTAGGCTCAGCCAGTAGGTGGCCTAATAAGTGTAAGCTGTTACTGTTACCATCATTACTGATCAAGACATTTGATAGAATTTGATGACTATGTCATATGTATAACTGGCTTCTTTTCCATGATGCAGACTTTCCCACCCATCAGCTAGAACTGACAATTTCTTGCTTTCTTCCACTCACTTCCCTGTATATATACTCTCAGCATCTGGAAGGTTCAGTAAGGGGAAAAGCTTTGTACTGAAAAACAGGGCGACACAGTGTTTCTCAAGACATGAGCAGTAAGACCAAGGCCAGGAAAGTCCCTCCCGAAGTTTTCTATCGCATCCATGGTGGTCAGTCGCACAAAAATATCCCGTCCCCTCAGCCCCTGCCCTTGCTGCTGGCCACACCAAGACTCCAGTGGGTCATTGTCACCCTGAGATTACAAGGCCTGGAGACAAGCGGTGGTGGCAAAGGGGGCAGTTGGCAACAACACAAAACGAGGTAAATCATCCTCTTAGATGAACGTGAGAGAATAAGCAGAGCAGTGATCGGGTCTGTGCTCTCCGTACTGGTCTTGCAACATGTTTGTGTGATGAGAAAAATACGTACTCCTGGGCTCCCGGGCTGTCCACCCACCTGTGGATAATAAAGAGGCCAGGTGTAGTTCTCCATCGTGAACTTTAAGGTATTCTGCTGCAGGCCAGGAAACTGCCCCCTGGGGCCTAGCTTACCTCCCAGGGTCCTTGGCTTCCTGGCTTAAACAAAGAAAAAAAAAAAAAGGGATTCCAGGGGCCTGAGAGGAAGCAGCTACCTTCTGCTTGGCAGTCTCTAGGGGAAATGCCTGCCCCTGCTAAGATGCCAAGGTTTATAGGAAATTCAGCAGGAAAAAAAAAAAAAAAAAACAACCCAATCCCAGAATGATGTTTTTAGAACATGCCAGTTATACTCCTCCACCCTTGGGTCTGAGTGGTATATTAGTTTGCTAAAACAGCATACATAATAAAGCACCTCAGGCTGGGTGGCCTAAACAACAGATATTCATATTTTCTCACAGTTATGGAGGTTGGCAGTCGAGATCAAGATACTACTAGGGCTGGTTCCTTCTTGAGGCCTCGCTCCTTGGTTTGTGGGTGACCATGTTCTCCCAGGGTCCTTGCATGGCCCTTCTTCTCCGTGATATGTGTCATAATCTCCTTTGCTTATCAGGACATGGTCATGTTGGCAGAGGCCCAGCATAAGACCTCATTTTCATTTAATTACTGCTTTAAATACAGTGATATCTTTAAACACACTTGACCCTTAAATAGCAGGGAGATCAGAAGTGCCAGCCACAGACAGTTGAACATCCAGGCATGATTTATAGCAGAACCTTTGTGTTGGTTTGTTTCATATCACCATATCCAAACGACCAAGTCTCAGATGGTTTGATTCTGTGAATGCAGAACCCACAGATAGAAAACAAGTCTGTATGTAAATGGGCCCAGCAGTTCAATCCCATGGTGGTCAAGGGTCAGCAAAGGTCAAGGCTGCTGAGGTGCTGAGGGTCAAGGGTCAAGGCTGCTGAGGTGCTGACGGTCAAGGTCAAGACTACTGAGGTGCAGAGGGTCAAGGGTCAAGCCTACTGAGGTTTAGGACTTCATCATACAATCTGGGGTATCAACAAGTCAGCCCGTAACAGGGAGGTTGCTGCATTTCTGCATCTTGTCTAGGAGAGAAGATGACTTTGAGCATCTCTGTCCTGCTGTCCTTGACTGTGTTCCTCCTGGTCATTGTGGAGCTGATCCCCTCCACCTCCAGTGCCGTGCCCTTGATTGGGAAATACATGCTGTTCACCATGGTGTTTGTCATCGCCTCCATCATCATCACCGTCATTGTCATCAACACACACCACCGCTCGCCCAGCACCCACGTCATGCCCGAGTGGGTGCGGAAGGTGAGTGAATGAGGCCCAGACAAATGGTACTCATGACAGTCATTTCTGTAAGGACATGCACAGCTCTTCCCTTGCACAGGTCGGGGCCTCTGGCCGACACTGTGAGTATTGAGAAACTGATGGTATTTTCTGGGTTGAAAGGGATTTGGGGGAAGAAGTTATTGTGGTCTCTTCCTAGGGATAAATAGCTCATGTCTCTGCTCCAGAAAGCGAAGAAAAACTACTCAGAAAACCCACTCTAAATTCAAGCTTGAAGAATCTCTTTGATTGGAGAAGATGAATCAATGTGTCTTCTTATTCAAATGATATAAAATCCATGATGTTTATGTTTGTATATCTTCTAATTTGTGAAAAGATTGCTTACTTTTTTTACTGGTAGAATTATTTGCCAAGAATAAAATAAAGGCTAGAGACACAGGAGAGCTTAATGAGTGTGTCAAAAAGTAAGTTTCAGTGGGGAAGTGGTTTCAAATATTTGTTACTGATTTTTTTAAATGTGTTAACATTTCAAGTATGTCTTTTAAAAAAAAAAATAAAACGTCACAGAGACGCTGAAGTCCAGAGTCATTTGTGAAATATGGAGATTTGCCATGAATTGACAAACAAACTATGGACTGTAACTTCTCTATAAAGATTTAGTGATTCCTAGCAAATGCAGGAATTGGCGGGTGCATTTTTTCAGGACAAGAGATTAGAGAAAACAACCTAGCTGTTTCATGGGAACAGAAGCCTATATATTTTTACATGTGTTGGGGGGGTTATCATGTGATGATGAGAACATATGGTCTTTAAAGAAGTAGGTGCCTATAAAGTTTAAGTTTCATTAGTTTCTTCCCAACCTGCGGGCTGCACACAGTCTCCCTCTAGTGGTGAATTGCTCAAATTACACAAGCGTCCCTGTTAACTACAGCAATTTAACAGGCCCCAGAATATGTTATGTAGGTTCCTTTTGAAAATCTAGCATAGTCCTTTTGTTTTAAGGACAAAGAGATGGAGGCCCAGAGAAGTTGAATGACTTGCCGAAGGTCACGTTGCTAACTTAAAGTCAGAATTTGATGCTTGCCTGCTGACAATATTTCTCATACAAGGGTTTCTTTTTTATTTTAGGTTTTTATTGAGACTATCCCAAATATCATGTTCTTTTCCACGATGAAAAGACCATCTAGAGAAAGACAAGACAAAAAGATTTTTACAGAAGACATTGATATTTCCGACATTTCCGGAAAACCGGGGCCTCCACCCATGGGCTTCCACTCTCCTCTGATCAAACACCCTGAGGTGAAAAGTGCCATCGAAGGTGTCAAATACATCGCAGAGACCATGAAGTCGGACCAGGAGTCCAATAACGTGAGTACTGTGGCTTGAAGCCTGCCCTGCGGGTTCCTCTGGTGAAAAGCATGGGTCAAATGCAGATGGACAGATGACTGGGTACAGAAGTTTGGCTCCGCTGGTAAACTGGCCTTCGAGAGGTAGCTACCAGTCTCAGATGGGTTTGGAGCTGCCTGCTGGCACCTGACTATGGTGCCATAATAATCCACACTGAGAATAATTTAGCTAAAAAAAAAAGTATCATCATGTCAGCCAGGTGTGTCCAGGGCTTGGAGATCTACACATTGGACATAATGTGTGTGAGTCTAACTGTCTTCAGGAAAGTCTAACACTTTCCTCCCCGCAGGCGGCTGAGGAATGGAAGTACGTGGCCATGGTGATGGACCACATTCTCCTTGGAGTCTTCATGCTTGTCTGTATCATCGGGACCCTGGCTGTATTTGCAGGTCGGCTCATTGAACTAAATCAGCAAGGATGAGCCGAAAGCTGAGGTGGGCTCACCTCTGCTCCAGGACCAAGCAGAGCAGAGACAGACAGCGGACACAGGAGGGTTCATCTACTTGGTTCATTCATCAACCATTTAATTTTCCATATTTGTTATTAATTAAGTGTATGTCAGGTTATGGCCTCAATGTATTCATGTTACTTTTCTTTTCAACCCTTCTGTGTATCCCTAGAGAGTGAATCCTTCGTAAAATAAAAAGTGGATCACTACAAGAAGTATTCATTCCCAAACTGAATTTGATGTTGGTTTTTAATTTTTTTTTTTCTTTAAGCAAAGAAGTAGCCTTTGCTTAAAAGGCTAAGAAAGCTCTGTCTAACAGTCCACAAAAGAGAAAGGACAGAAAGGAAGCAGTAAAGAAGCTAGAGGTGAATTCCAGAATGACTGCCATATACAAAGGACATCAACAATACATGTTTTAAAGTAGATTTTTAGAAATGGGAGGTGCAGGAAGGATTTCCCACCAACAGATAAACAAAACATGGCATACCCCTACAATGGAATATTACTCAGCCCAAAAACACTGATTCAAAAAGATACCTGCACCCCCATGTTTATTGCCACTTTATTTACAATTGGAAAGACATGGAAACAGCCCAATACCCATTGCTCCCCTTAGCAGTGTATCTCTTTAGATCAGCCTGTTGTGCTCCCCACTCTGTCTGTGGTGAATCCTCTCACTCCCCATCACTGGCCTACACCCCAGTTCTTCTATGCAAAAGAAAAGAAGTGTCTAGTTCAGTAGTTATCAGCATATTCACAGGCCAGGCAGGCTCACCTCGGTGATGGCAGGGCTCCAGGTCAGACTGCCTCCATGAAGCAGGGTCCCCCCAGTGAAGCAAGTGATCTGGTTTCCCAATGTAAATAAAAGTCATGTTTACACTATCACTTAGTCTACTAAGTGCACTGCACTGTAATATAAGAGCATGATGTCTAAAAACACAATGTACAGAGACGAGAAGGGAGCACAGGCTGTCTGGAAAACAGATCTATCTGCCAAGAGATAGAGGCGAGGCAAGGCCTCACACCTCACCCATTTGTAGAAAACATCTGTGCAAAGAAGTGACTCACAGTAAAGTGAGGTCTGCCTGTCCCTACCTCCAGAACATCTTCATCACCCCATTTCTGTTACATTTTTAAGAAAGCTTTCTTTGGCTTACAGTGAAACAAAATAGACTATTTCTCACTATGTGACTCTATTTTATAATCATTGGTTGTATGTCAGACACTGTTTTGAATACCTTATAAATAAATAATAAAATATCCACAGCAAGTCGTATCATCCCCACCCACACCCCCACCATAACCAATGAAGGGAAACCAAAGGCCAGGAGTCCTGCCCAGGGCCACCCCCCGAAGCGGGATGTGAAGTCTGAGCCTGAGCTCCTACTCCTCTCCATGCCTGCACCTCTGGCCGGAGCACAAAGATCTAACAGGCCAAACACACAACCCTTAAGATGAAGAGCCCTGTCTCTTCCTCCTTTGTTTATCTGTCATCTTTGGCTGTGGTTGTTTGTTTTTCTTTCTTTCTTTCTCTCTGAAACTAGAATAAAGGGTCTATTACTGACTATGGATTAGTCTCTGCAGGTGACACAAAAATTCAGAATGTCTGGGCCTTGCCCTCAGGAAGTGAATGTCCTGAAACAGTATTAGAGATAGAAGGTGGCACAGATGGGAGCTATCTGTCTGGGAGAATCTGACCCCTGCTGAGAAGGCTGGTTGACTCATTGTTTTGAAAAGAATCATAAATAATGAGATCATTTCATTATTTCTTCCCTTAGGGAAGACCAAAGGGATTTTCTTTAAGATGAAATACAGATTTCTTAACATGTGAAACTTGATGATGCTTTGGGCAAATGCTCTTTCGCTTTAAAATCTTCCTCGTCTAACAGTGGGGCGGGGGGGGATAATGCACTGGCCTATGGTGATGGCACATGGGTGATTTGGTGGTGGGAAACCTAGGGGGATTACAACTGAGATGAAAAAATGCACAAAGTGATGGATAAATAAACTATTATGTTGTTTTTTAAAAATCTTCCTAGTCTTAGGTATCTGCCCAAAAGACACAAAAACACTGATTGAAAAAGATACCTGCACTCCCATGTTTATTGCCACTTTATTTACAATTGGAAAGACATGGAAACAGCCCAAATGTCCAAAGTGGATGACTGGATTAAAAAGATGTGGTACATATACACAATGGAATATTACTCAGCAACCAAAAAATAAATAAATAAATAAACACATGACTTTTGCAGCAACATGGATGGAGCTGGAAAAGATCATGCTTAGTGAAATAAGCCAGAAAGAAAAGGAAAAACACCAGATGGTTTCACCCATAGCAGGAGTATAATGGACGAAGCGAGAAAATAATAATAATGATGAACAGCTATATACCAGAGACATTTTATGGGGGTGGAGTGGGGAATGGGATCAAAAACGGGGGGGGGGGGGGAAGTGCACTGGCTATGGTGACGTCACAGGGTGATTTGGTGATGGGAAGCCACAGGGATTACAACTGAGATGGAAAATGCACAAAATGATGTAAAAATAAACTATTATATTATTTAAAAAAAAATGTCCTAGTCTTCATTTCATTCTCAGGTGACCAAGAGCACAGTGATTTCTGTTTACCTTAATAACACCACCACCCACATTTAAATTATCTATAGACTATAACATATAGGGAGGGTGTTTTTAGAGGATAACAATACATTTATTTGATAGACCTGGCATCTCTGAAAACAGTGTGCTAAATACAGATACGATTTTGGAAATTCATATTTGTTTAAATATGCAGTCTTAGGGAGTTTGCTATGAGAAAAACTGCTGAGAATCCATTAGTAAAGCTAGAAATCCTTTAAAATCATCTGATGACTGGCTAATTATTCCCCTAAATTTTTTACTATAAATATCAATAAGTTGTTCTTATTGAATAACACCTGAAATTCAACTCCTTTGTAGTTTATTCTTTGAAAACTTTACAAAATAAATTGTAGATCCAAATTTGAAAGGCTGGACTCAGTCAATAGCTCACGAAACCCAGGGTACTTCAAAACAGCTGTTATCCATCTTGCTACCCATATATGAGGCACAGAGACATTTTTAAAAGGCTTCCAATACTGGGCCCTCCCTGGTGGCACAGCAGGTTCAAGCACAGCACTAAGAAGCTAAAGCCACTTCAACATGAGTTCCATCCCAGCCTTCCCTGGAGGTGATCCACATGGTGTGGCAGACCTCTCCTGGCCTGCCTGCTGCTCCCCTCAGCAGTGTACTTCGTCAGTCAGCCTGTTCTGCTCCCAACTCTGTCCCTGGTGAATCCTCTCACCGCCCCTGCATCTCTGACCTATACCCCAGTTCTGTATGCATAAATAAATAAATCTTAAAAAAAAAAAAGTTTCCAATACTAGGAAACTCTGCGTTTATATAGGGCTCTGAAGAACTCTCCAGCTCGGCCTAGGGTGTCCATTCACAAACATTTTAAATTGTACCCTTTTTACTACCAGTCATGTAATTTAGAGAGGCCCCTTTCTGAAAGTTTGCACCACCAATATGATATAATAATCATTTTTTTGGGTACTGTGATAGGATAACTCTAGCTCATCAACTATTTGGGAGGATAATTAGACGTTATCATAAGCTGTACTGTAGTTTCCCAAGAAATGAGCAATTTGTTTTTTACATAAACTAGACAGCAGCTCCCTCTTGTGTTGAAATGTTAGTACTGCAGTCTCTGAATTAAAACGTGAGTTCTTTCATAGACAATAAAACTTGCTCAAACGAAGAACTTAAAGTTGTTTAAGAGAAACATAATGCTTCATAATTGTTTTAACTGGCATCTTTATTGTTAGTATTTATTTAATTAATTATTCAGATATTTATTGAGTGCTTATTGGGTGAGGGGAACTAGAAATTCTAGGATGATTAGACAGTTGTTCCCAAATTGCTCACATAATCTAGTCCACCTAGTGTCTGCCTTCTCCTAGTGCATTTCATGGTTCCCTGTCAATTGTGACACCTTTTGTCTTCTCTGAATCACCCCATCTCTCCCCCACACCGTTAACTGCCATCCTAACACTGAGTCATTTTATCTCTCTCCTAACTTCCCTTTATCGCTCTTTGTCATTTTTTTTGTTCTTCTCCTCCTGGATTGCAACCTCTTTGAAGGCAGCATCCATGTTTTATCTGATCCACGGTTAATTTTCCCGTATCTCCTCAATCTGCTGCTGTTCAGTAATATTCAAACACATGTATTCAAGTTCATTTAATGCAACCAAATCAGAAAGCAAGAACTTCACGGCTCATTAAGAATAGGTTCTAACAGAGAAGTCCACTGTAGTTGCTTTGACCAGACAACTCAAAAGTTGAGTAGTTGGCCATTGTTTGTTCTTCCCAAAATACATGGCGCTGGGCCCATCCTGGTGGTGCAACGAGCCAAAGCACTACATTATGAAGCTTCCCAAGCCACTGCAGTATGAGTCCCATCCCCGGCAGGGAGTTGACCCACATGGCACAGCAGACCTCTCCTGACCCGCCCACTGCTCCCCTCAGCAGTATGCTTCATCACTCTGCTTGTTCTGCCTCTGGTGAATCCTCTCACCTCACCCCCAGCACCTCTGGCCTGTACCCCAGTTCTGTGTGCATAAATAAATAAATCTTTTTTTTTTAAATACATGGTGTTTTCTCATAAATGTCTGTGGTACTATAATAAGGATGCCAAGGGAAGGTAAGTTTGACTCTCTCCTAGAAGACACATGTCAGAAGTTTGGCTGGCCCTTCCTGTCCGCCCTGAAAGGGCTCTCGGTGCCTGCACGTTCCCACGGGTGCCCGTGTGACTCTCGTGAAGGCCAGCAGGCCAGAGGCTGCCCAGGTCCTGCAGCAGGGGCCCCAGACTTGTATTTCACATAACAGTGAAATATTTCTTTTAATTATTTTCAGGGACTGGCATGAGGTTGTTGCCACTATCTTATTCTTATTCTACCATCTATAAACCACCTTTTAAACTATCATTTATTAGGACTTTCATTTTATGAAAGAAAAAATGAAATTTTAACACCAAAAAGTAGGATAGTCATCATCACCTCAGTGTAAAGAACTTTTTTTCTAACGAATACATCTT